AGCAGCTGTGGGACTGGCAGGTGACAAAGATTTGTCCTGACTGTGGGCAAGGCAGGAAAACTCTAGCTACACCTACCTCTTATGTGAAGCCACAAACCAGAAGTGGGCCCTACAGTGTTTATGACGGTCCCTTTGTCTTGGACTTCCAGCCTTTGGGACTGTGAGAAGTAAATGCTTGCTGTCTAAGCCACTAGTCTCCGTTCCGTTACTGCAGCCTAATGGATGACCAACACTATGGACATTATTTCTCAGCCTCTATTCACAGTTAATGACAAATCAGGTTTCATCCAGCCACAGTAAATGTGCGGTTAACTGTTTCAAGACACCTCACTTATGCTGAGTAGGGTAGACAAGCATGAGCTGAAGTCTGCTGCTGTAGCAGGCATGGGGACCTAGAAGCTGAGGGGAAACCTGTGTCCACTCTCTTTGAGATTCTGGATGACCATGTAAACTTTCTTCATCTGGGATGAGACTAAGTCCATGGGCGCTCACAGAGGCTTCCTAGTAAGAACTACTCAGGGTCAGAGAATCTAGGCTTGCTTTACCCAGCAGGGCTGCATAATGGAATGATTTGGCCATGGGTGTGTTTACCAGGTGTTTGGAAGGGTCTACACTTGGCTGTATGGTGTGCTTTGATCTTACAAGGAGGAGGTCTTTTGCTTCTCCCTTTGGCATATTATAAAAAGCCCTTTTCAATAAAGGATGAGGCTGTTGGGTATTGACCCAGGCCCTCCCAAAACTCTCCTGTGTTTCTGTCTTTCATCCCATTGTCCAGGTCTCTCTATCATTTCTTAATTCCTCTCTGCTCCACCTTAGAACCCTTCAAAACATGGGAGCCAGACTCTCACAAAGTCCCTTACAGATATGAAAGTGGAAGCCCACAGCTATGCCTAGTCCACAGAGAGTGTCCTGGAAATATTATCACCCTTGAAGAAGGTGGCTTTGTGCGAGAAGTAATGATAAATGGATAGCCCAGCCGCTCAAATGCTAAAGGTGCTAGGACAGAAGTGGAGAAGTCCCTAGAACAGTGAGTGGAGGTGCTTGGTGGAGACAGAGTGAGGCTGCGCTAAGGGGAAGTCATAAACCTGAAACCTACACGACTTTCTTCTTGGACTTAGGCACAACTTTCTGAAGAACACACTTCCTAAAGAAATGAGTTCTATGAATTCTAAAGCAAGCTGCAATGTCACCACAGCCCAGTTCCTGTTAAATGGTCAAGGTGCAGATCACATTCTGCCTGGAGCAGTGGGATTAGACCAGGAGCATTGAAGAAGCCCATTGGGTGGGGGGGAGCTCTGAGGAGCCCCAACATTTAGCCTTCCTGGGGACTTCTGAGGAGCCAGGTGTCAAAGGCCCACAAGATGTGAGTTGGTCACTTATGCATCACAGTAACCAAAGCACCTGCCGGAAGCCACAGACAGCGGGAAAATCTACTTTGGCTCACATTTCCAGCTGAGTTCAGTTCAGGGCAGTAGGAGTCTGGCAGAGACACCTTACCTTGTACAGACCAGGAAGCCTAGCATGTCAGGAATCAGGGGCCAGGCTATAATCTTCACAGGCAAGTCCTTGTGCCATACTTTGGTCAGCAAGGCTGCACCTCCACAGTCACCCAAAATAGCACTGGCAGCTAGGGTGCAGGTGTTCAAATCATGAGCCTATAGGGGACATTTTAATTTCAAACCATAATGCTGTTCAGAGCCACTAAGGGACAGCAGGACAGTGGTTTTTAAGGAGGAGAGAAAATGCTGGTTCAGCAAACTTGGACCAGGAGTTGGACATTCCCACCAGGGCTGAGATGGACATTTGGATGGTGATATTCTAAAAGGCTGGGTTGCCTGAAGAAACGTCTTGTGTAGGAGTGAACTTGGTTGCCTGTGTCCATTTAACACACCTGGGAAGAGTTTTAGAACTGGTTCCATCAGAGTGCCTGTGGGCACATCTGTAGGAAGTTTTCTTGACTGCTAATTGATGTAAGTGGGCCCACATCACTGTGAGCAGAATCATCCCGGGCAGGTGAGTCTGGGCTACATAAGAAAGGTGGTTGAAAGTGAGTGTGGGAGCAAGCCAGTGAGCAGCATTCCTCCGTGTTCCTGCTGCCAGGGTCTATGGAGTCCCTGCCTTGGTTTCTCTTGACAAGAGACTGTAGACTTCAGGCCACGCAAACCCTCTCCCTCCCCTCAGTCAGTGTCCTATAACAACAGGAAGGCGAGGAAGTAGAAGCATCCTAAGGGAGGTCAGTTTCCAAAGTCTCTCCCAATCCTAAGGTTCTCAGACTCTCTTGTCAACAGCGCCCGTTTAGGTTTGGACACCTCATGTGATTTTAGGAGTGTGTTCCCTGGGACCCAACAAGAAACCTAACACTCCCATCACACATAGACACACACCACACACGCACACAGCCATAGCAATGGACTTGGTGTGTATTTGGCATGATATTTCAGGATGAGTCATAGGAATTGGCTAAGGCTTTTAAAACAGAAATGCACTCTCATTCCTGCTAGATGTCACTTAGGACGAAGAGTCTGGGTTGCTGTTGGCACATACCTAGGGTCGTCTTCTGCAAAAGCCATCTTTAGGAGAAAGGCAGAGATGAGAAAAGGAAAGAAGCGGGGACTTTGGTGGCATTGTTGAGCTGTGAATCAAGTCTGAACCCGAACCCTCTGGACTTTCCAGCATAGGAACTGGTAACTTTCTGGGTTGGGGAGATGGATGGCTCCCTGGGAGAGAACACAACAGCACAAGTGTGAGGGCCTGAGTTCAAACTGTAGCAGCCACGTAAAACAAAAGCTGTGCGTGGCTGTGCGTGCACCTGTCACCTGGTCCTGAGCGGAGAGGTGGATCACCAGCACCCTGGGCACCAGCCTTCTCCAGGTGCAGTGAGGGGCCCCGTCTCAAAGGAACGCAGTGGAGAGTGATAGAGCAGGCCCCCAGTGTCCTCCTCTGGCCTTTGGGTATTAGAAACAAAAGATAATTGAGCTCTGAAGAAAAGGGATTTGGAAAAAGAAGGATGTAGACACGTCAGGATGGGACTGCAAGCAGGAAATAGAACGCTCCCGAGCGCCTCCGCAGTCCTCTCTTTGCTTCTTGCTTTCGCTTTCTGTGAACTAGCCCCCACTCACCCCAAAGGGAATATGGCCACCCCACAGCTCCCCAGTTCGTTCCCTGAGCAAGAGGCTGTCTTTAACCTCTTTCGCCAGACCTCTGGGTTAAGGGAAGCTAATGAGCCTCCTTGGGTGATGAGCTAGCTCCTTGGCACATTCCTGCTCAGGATGGCCTGATTATGGTGGAAATGTGGCTTCTGGTGGGGTGTGACTGAACCTTGAGAGAGGGCAAATGAGACTCAGTCCCCCAAAACAGTGTAACTCGTGTGCTGACTAGAGAACCTCAAAAGGGAAATGTTAACTTTAGATTTTTTTTTTTTGAGTCCCATTTTGTTTTTCAAAGGTGTTTTTTTTTTTCTTCTGTCTTTATGAAGCCACCTCTTTACATGGGCTTTAGTTCAAGTCATGGTGCAGCACCAGCAGGTCTCAATCATGGTGGGGGTGTTCTGTCCTTCCAGGCTTCACAGGATTGATTCCTGACTTCCTTGCTATGAATACCACAGTAATGCAGCTTCACATAGAGTTTGGGAAGCACATAAACGTCGAAGACATTTGCTTCAGATATGTTCCTGACAGCAGTGGCCTCTACAATGTTCCGAATGACCAACCTCTTAATGGCCTTGTCCTTGGGCATGTGCTGGGCACAGTTTGTGCAGCAAATTGGCTGCACATGGCTGCGGCCAATTTTGGCACGACAATTGTTTCCTCTTTTTTTGGTCATCTTGGAGCCAAGCAAAAAACAAAACAAAACAAAACAAAACAAACAAACAAAACAAACAAACAAACCACTTGCCCAGCAGAAGTCAAAGGACATAATGTCTACTTGAGATTTTGAGGACGAATCATAATGAACAGGTAGAAAGGATGAATGGGAAGAGAGTCCTCTAGTAATAGGGACAGAGTGTGGCATTTTGGGAGATGTTAGGGAAGCCCCCGACAGATGAGCCTGGACAAATCGAGCAGATAGTACATTATCAGAGTCTTGTAAGCTTCACTGGGTTTGGTTTTCACTTTGAGTTCTGAGGGAAAGTATTAAAACTTTCTCTCTGTGTGTGAGTGCACACGAGCACACGCACGTGTATATACACACACATTGCACATGTACCAGTATGAATGTGAATGTGAAAGCCAGAGGAAACCTTGTTTCCTAGGTGCCCATTCCCTCCCTCCCTCCCTCCCTCCTTCCTTCCTTCCTTCCTTCCTTCCTTCTTCTTTCCTCTCTACTTTGGGCAGGGTTTCTCTCGCCAGCCTGGGACACAACAATTAGTCTAGTCTGGCTGGCAGTGAGCCCGGAGACCCGTCTCCCCGTCTCCAGCACCTGCGCACAGCGCTGCACCTGGCTTTTTATATTTATACAGGCTCTGGGCTCAATCTCAAGTCCTTGTGCTTGGAAAGCAAACACTGAGCGATGGCTCCAGCCCTGTGTAGTAAAGATTTTTAAAGAGAAATGAGGGCAGGATGAAGTGTACTGGTAATTTTATCCTATCAATAATATGGAGAATTCCTGGGGCTGGGAACACTGGACTGCTGGGGTCTCTTAGGTGCAATGATGGCGGCCAGAAGTGAGGAAGAATCGGAGAAGTGAGAAGAAAGTTGTCTAGGACATCTGTCTTTGCACAGGGCCTGATTTATTTCGGATGCCTTGTTGAATGGTAGCACAGAAGCCAGATAAACTAGTATCCAGGCCAGTCTCTAGCCGATGTGTTTCTTGCTGCTCTCGTGGTCAGTGGTGTGAGTACAGAGGGCAGACTGGGAAATTCCAGCTGTGGGTCAGTGCCAATGAAACAAATGTTGGAGGCATTTTCTTCCGTGCCTGCTTGCAGCTGTTTGCGTCTCTTGATGCGTCAGGGAACACTCACTTGGTAGCTGAAAAAGAAGAGAAGCGTTATGACAGAGAGAACTTGGAAGGAAGGAGGAGTGATGGGTAGTACAGATTTCCTTCCTAGTTGGCCCCCTACTGAAAAGGAATCTAAGGAGTTATTTTCTAGGGCGTCTCTATGAGACTTGGACAAGAGGTGAAGGCCAGCTGACAGCTGTTCATAGGAGAAGGTGTGGGTGGGAGCCAAATGGGAAGGGAAGGTCATGGTAGCTGCTGTGGGTGCCTGTAGCCGGTAGTGTTTCATGGGCCTGTTGGTGATTATCACGTTTTAGAAATACTTGGAGGCAGAAGAAAGAGATTTATGGGGAAATGCTGAATTCCTGTGTGAGTGTGTGTGTGTGTGTGTGTGTGTGTGTGTGTGTGTGTGTGCATGAGCAGGTGTTGGATAAAAACTCATAAAAATTTGTGCCCTTGCACTTTGGACACTTGTAAATAACACTCCTAACACCCACATTTTAGTTACAGGGTGAAGGCCTGGTTGTTAGAGTAATCTTGTGTCAAGAGAACAAAAGAGAAGGCATTAAACAAACATTTCTCTGTCCCATGGCACTGGAGTAGAGATATTTGTGCTCATTCTCTAGGTCCACATGACATCATATCCCCATACCTATGTGGCCTGCAATGGCCCCAAATGCCTCAGAGCACCACGGAAGATCTGGATACAGTGGTGTTTTGTAAAAACCAGGAAATTTAAGTTTTCTTTTTAATAAATTTGATAGATTGTGTGGTCTTGTAGTAATTTAGGAAGATCTGTAACTTTGTTAAAAGACACTACTCAGTCGTAGATTGAGACATGAGAAAAACCTGATGTTGAAATATTTGACCATAAATTTCTACTCATGTTGCAGAAGGCCATTTACCATCTTCTGTAGTCAATAAACATATTTCTGTTGGCAAATGTACCATATAAGAACCTCCCAAAGTCAGAGATAGACGTTTCTTTTAGAAAGCTGACTTTATTGTACTTTGAGTACCCCTGCATTTGTGACTACTTCAGAAGAAATATTCTTTGGTGGAAAGATTGGCATCTACATCTTTTGCTGCAAGGAAAAGGAGTTCCTCTGTTCTATGTGGAAGTCAGTCCATGCGAGCTGTGTTCTGCTACCTTAAGGATGACATTGTTCCTAACAAATGGGGACACCTTGTTTTATTTGATTTTTTCAGTAGACCTTCAGCACCATGCCCACCCCACTCGGACCCTCAGTAATCTTCAGGATTTGCAGTTGCCTGTGTCTTGGGTGTTCTAGAAGGCACTCTTGGGCCTGGGAAGAGCTGGCATTTACCTGGAAGATTTGAACTACCCAGGAGTCCTTTAAGTGACCACACAATTGGTGTGTTTTAGGTCCAAAAGAAACTCGGGACAAATGGCCACCTGAGGTGCCTTTTAGCATACCAAAGCATGTGCTGGTCTCCAGGCTCTCTCAGCATGCAAGCACATGCTACAGATCCTAGGCTGGTGTCCTGGGTCTTCCTCTTTTCACCCCATCCCTACCCTAAACTTCTCTGGCTCACGGACTTCCCTTTCCCCAGCTTCTTTCCTAGAAAACTCTGCCATTTTGGCCAACGCTCTCTCGGTCCTCTTTGCTCCCTCTTTCTTTGCCCCCCCCTTCTTGGCTCTTGTCCCCCCTCTGGCCCCTCTCTCTTGGTCTCCCTTGTCCACACTCTCCTTCCTTCACCCCCACTCTGCTGCTCTCTCTCTCCTCTCATGACCTGGTTCAGTCTCCTGGACATATTTAGTCCACTGCTTTCTCTCCCTGCTCTGGATCCTTCCAGGTGCCTCTGGCTGTACTGTCCCTCATATCGACAATAAAGACCTTCTCTTTAACCATACTTTTGGAGTGGTATACATTTTATACATCTGGTGGATAAATTTCACTTTATACATCTTGTGCTGAGACTCCCCACTTTTTCCAGTACGTAAGTATTCCAGTTGCCTGTATGTTTTACATTTGCAGTTTAGCTGTGGGACTGAATTCCATAGTCACCTACAATGGCAATAGGCTTTTGTTAGCTGCCTGCCATTCCTGTGTCACGTTCTTATATATTTTCCAGGAGTCTCTGGACCTCAAAAATAAGTTAGTATTCTTAAATTCTTGTCTTAGAATTTGCTTCCATGGAAGCCAAACTGATATTGGTCCATTTGTTCAAGATGGTCAAGATGGGGATCATCTGCTATTTCAAGTTTGGTTAAAAGCTGGAGAGTGTCAAAGCACAATGTTCAAACTATTGAGAAGATAATTCTTAGGTAAACAGATGGCACACATCAAATTCAAATCATTATGAGACAATTAGTAAATGACAAAGCTGAGCCAATGTATACAGCTGGTGGGTAAAGAAAAACTGGTTAATAATCTCCAATTGCTGTGGTTTGGATCTGAATGTACCCCAGAGGTGCTTGGAAGGCTTGGTTTCTGCTCCAGGTGCTGTTGGGAAGTGATGGCTGGAGTGGGAGGCTGCACTGGGTACTTTTCTCAGTACTTTGGCCAAACACTTGATCGGAAGCACCTTAAGGGAAGGATGGTTTTATCTGGCTCACGGTTTGAGGGGATATGGTCCATCCTGGTGGGCAGCTCATGGTGGTAGGAATATGAGGCAGCTGATCACATGTGTCTACCATCAGGAAGAAGAGAGAAATGAACTCTGACCTCCACCTCGGTTCTTTGTTGTTGTTGTTCGGTCTGGGATGGCAGCCCATAGGATGACGGAACTGCCCAAATTGAGGGTAAGACGTCTCTACTTGGTTACCCCTTTGTGAAAACAGCCCCTCCCCCACAGAGATGCTTTTCTTGGTTCATTCCAGATTCATAGAAGCTGACTAGATTAACCATCAGAGAGATCTTTGTCACTGGGAGGGTGCCCTAAAGTGGGGTAGTGGGACCCCCCTTGCCTCTTCTTCCCTCTGCTTCCTAGCCATAGCAGAAGATGAGATGTGCTCCCTCTACAGTCCCCAATGTGAAGGACCATCTAATCATAGATAGAAACCTACAGAACTTTACTCTTTTAAAAGCCGATCATCTCAGGTTGTTTGTTACAGTAATGGAAAACGGACAAACACAAACAGTTTTTATTATATCATCACTTACAGGAACAAAAACCATCACATCAACTCAAATTTTATAGACTCAGAAAAGATGTGGGCCTCTGATAATTAGTAGTCATAGGTCAAATAATGTTAAACACTGAAGAGAACTTTAGGAAGAAGAGGAAAAGAAAAAAAACAACACAGACTTTAGATCAGTGGTCTCTGAAAACTGTTCGCTCTGGGTCTCATCCTCAGAAATCTGAGTGGACCTCTTTAAGACTCTAGTATCTTTCTCCCTCTCATCAAATTGCGATCAATGGTGTTAAGGGATGGAAAGGAGCATTCCTTCCTTCCTCTTGTGCTGAGTTAATGAGCGTGAAGGGCTGTCTCGTTATTAACTAATAAGGCCTATCTGCTGCTGCCATGTCTTGTTAAGCGCACAATTTGAAAAGTCAGGGCTGGTAAGTGAGGAGCACCCCGGCTCTCTAACAGCCATTCAGAGCGAGATGATACTGCAGATCATCGGGAATTACGACAGGCGGTTTAAGAGATGGTCTCAAAGCACAAGTTCAAATAACTCCTTCCTCCCTGCTCTCTTCGGAAGACCAGCAAGCCCCAAAAGCAGGCAGTGGAAGGCAGCATTGTCTCCTTGTAAATGGAATGACCTGATTTTTATCTCTAGTTGGATTCCAGGAGGAAGCATGATGTCATTCCAGCCCCTGGCCAGAAACCTTCTTGCTTAATGAGCACTTTGAGCTTGCTGGCAGCTGAGGGAGCCTTTGTTTACTGTGCTCAGAAGCCGGGGTCAAAGATTCTCTTGGCTCTTAGGAACAAAGGCACAGGCTTGCTAAAGGACCCATGTCTGTAAGTATAATGTAAGGTAATGACAGACAGACAGTACAGTTCCCAAAGGTTTCATAGCTGGGAGAGGAGCAGAGACCCCGTGACCAGACATTAATATGGTGTTTAAGCTATCCTTCTCTGGCCCCAAATGAGGGCTGAGTTTCAGCCAGGTTTCCTGTGGCAGGTGTACGCCACTCTTCCAGCCCACAGCTCTCACAGACTCCTGCCCACCCCTCCAGCGTCCCTCAGCTGTTGGAACAGTTGCTGGTGGGTCTGGAAGGGCTCCACCCACTAGCAGCTGTTGAGCTGTATCCTGGGGGTAGAAACAGATGTCTTGAATACTGGTTACTAGCCACAGAGGTCAATACCAGGAACTAGCACCGGGGTGGGGATGGGGTGGGGGGAGTGGGGGGGCTGATGTCAACCCGGGGTGCAGAGTAAGTGAGATTTCAGGCAGAAGATGGGGTGTTGAAGAAAAGAAAGTGGCTTCCAGTCTCCTTTACAAAGGGTGTAATCTCCCTGATGATTTTCCTTTTTAAAAAAGCATCTTTGTGCCTGGCATCCGGTGAGCTGCATATGGTTAAAGAGTACAGTGTGAGAAGTTCTGATACATACATTTGTGAAGAATCCCTCCCCAGAATGATGTGTGATACATGCTCATGAGTCATAACAAATGTGCCCCTCTAGAGGGGGCGATGGCTAACGGGGGAGCCATGCATGTGCATATGGATATCTCTGGACCGTCTTGATTTTTATGGGAACCCAAAACTGTCCTAAATATAAAGCCTGTTTTTTTTTTTTTTTTTTCTTAAGGGCTAATAAAAATGTGGTGTTGACTCAGTCAGGATTACTGCTCCCGAAGGTTCCTTTTGATGCTTTGTAATCCCCAGTGTAAGCGCGTGGCCAGTGTTGAACACAAACCTCTCCCCATCCCAGGTGATGCCGTGAATGCAGAGCACTGCTCATCCTAAAGAGAAGAAGTGACATTTTTCTTGAGCCAAACATGAATTCCATGGCCTGGAAACACAGATTTGGGTTGCCACAAAAGATGTGTCCCACTGTGGAAGCAGTCACATGATATTTTATTAGTTACAAAATACAGAAAGTCATTAATCAAGGAAT